CTGCAGGTGTACTCGTTAACTCAGTGCGTAACCTTTGTAAGAAATGTAAAAAAATTATGACAATGAGAACCACTAACAATTATTTAACCATTGTTTCATCTATAATGCTTAGTCTAAAAACCACTTGTTAACATTAGTATTGGTCGTATAAAACTATTAAATATATCTCATACTAAAAACCGTTTAGGCAGTAGTTCGTATGAAATACTTACAGCCAATCTAGAGTGAAAATATATATGGGTTAAGAAATACTAAAATCATAGCAAATAACGGGAAAAAAGTGAAACTCGCCTGGATTATGTTGTGAGTTGTCGTCAGAACATGCCCACATCACTCATCTCAGTAGAAGATTCTTCGTTCTTTTGTGACTTACTTCTTTTAAAGTTTTCGATTTATATTACTCAACGGTTGTTTGCAGATGACTAGCTTATGTATTCAGTATTTAAATAAAAGAAGTATAACGCCCATTCATCGAAAGCAAAAGATCCGAGGAGATGTGGGTAGCATAATATTTCAGATTGCTACTTCTTTGGCAATGTTTTTGTTAATTAAGGAAAATAGGTGAAACAGTACGAGAACATTTTTTAGTTAAGTGAGCACATGATCTTAATAGATATGTGGGTATATATTAGGCCGTAGCCTAAACTGTGGATATTCTTGACTGAATAATCGACTGTGCCCATCTAACCCTTTTAGTGAAGATGCCACAGGTGTTTGGAGTTTGACAACGCTTTAACCAGTAACACCTTCTACTACGAATCGTACCTAACAAGTGAAATCAATGGATAGAAGCGAAGAGGTTTGAAGACATATTTGATAGACTATCAATATTTCGAGGATCGTCTGACCTAATCTGGCTAGCGATTGCAGGAGTTGTTGAGCACGGCGTTCCCACTCGTGACCTGGTGCGGATGCATGACCGAGTGCCTTCAGCTAGGTGAGTCCATTAAAACGAGTAAGGTCAGCATCCAACGTCGAAAACTTACAGAGCTGTTTATTTGGGGATTTACTTACCGATACAAAATCATTAAAACGATCAAGCCAGTTGATGATTCAGTGATAACATTGGAACAGATTACATAAATAAACACTATGAGTAAAAGTATAAAGGTGCTGCAAATTTCTAATGAATACAAAGACTTGGATCGTAAGCTCGACTTACTGCAGCTGCTGCTATGTGTAAGAAACGAGATCAAACTCGATGAGGAAAACTAGTGGGAATTCCATAAGCCACCTTAGATGGCTTATTTCCGTTTACTGCATGGCCGCTGTCGATCAATTGTTATATAACTGAGACGCGTATTGTTTTAATGGCAGTCTTTCCTAACCACGAAGAGGGATGTTCACTTAGTCGTTGGCGCAGTTTTCTGGTATTGTGCCCAACATAGCAGATAAATACTAGCTTACTGGGGACTTTTTTCCTATACATATTTCTACTGACAGCATCACTTTCCTTTGTGTTTAACGAAACACCAAGGAAGTATTGTTTTTATTGCATAACTTTATAGTTTCTTCAATATTGTCTCAGCATCTATATTTTCCACAACTAGAACACTTTATTTGTACTCTTTGTTTGTTTTGTTTATTCATGTAATCTATTCAACTGTTATCACTGAATCATTAATTGGCTTGGCTGGTTTTACGATTTCGTATATGCATATAGATTTTACTTTATATTAGAGTAAAGCCTGATGAAGGTCTAATTGAAACGGAAAAATATCGCTTTTCATTTTTACCATGAAAATCGTTCACAATACTTTCAAGTGATTTAATGGTCATTAAAAATATTTTTATTTTCATGTCGAAACGCTCTAACTAGTTTGTAGTGTTTGTTTGATTGTGTTACAGCATTTTGTTTTGTCCAATAAGAGACGTGCCAAGTGTACGTGATAATTTGATTACTGTTTCCACATGGATAAGTCTGTCGTTTTCTGTATTATTGTGATTCTCACAACCTTTTTAAATATCATACATGCGAAGAAGTATGACCCATCAAATTGCGAAGGTAACATAAGGTAGCTAATTTGTTATTTCAATAGTGTGCATTAAGTTCGTTGGCTCCTTCATCCAGTCACTTGAGCCTGACGATTTTCAGTCACCACAGAAAATCAAAGATGCATTTATGAAAAGGTGTGAAACTTCAGTTGGAAAGGATAATAGTTTCGTAAGCCATATTATTTGTCTCTAAAGCCCGTAGTGTTATTACGTTGGCGGCCTTAAAACATCTGCGGCGAAGACTGTTAATACTCTAGTTGACCCAATTTCATGGAAGATGCCTGTGGAAAAGATCTGTGAAAAACTGTTTAAAGTAGACTCTCAAATCTGTGATCTTAGATACGGTAAGTGTGTTTTGTCCTACTTAATTTCCGTTGTCAGAAAAAGTTGTAGATCTTAAGGAGTTCAACTTTGAAAAGTCCAAGGTGAGGGATCTCAAGAAGATCATAGAGAGATGGGGGTTAGAATGTCGTGGTTGTACTGAAAAAAGAGATTATATCAGTTTGATTAAAAGTAATATGCAAAAGCATGATCCTGAAGCAGCAGCTTTTCTTCAAGCAAGAGGGGAGCTTTGACTTTTTTGATACGTTTTTATGTACAAAGTTATTTATGAGTTTTTAGTTTTCATATATTCGTTCACTTTAATGAAATATAATTTTGGTCCTTACTGTTTCAGTAGCTTGTATAAAATAAGATGAATGGGGATGAGTGTATCTACTAGATCCATCTATCGATTTGTAAATGTGACTTATATGTTAGGTTGATGAGACTCTGTTTTAGCTGTGATCTTTTGTTGACGTGAGTGGTAAAAGTTAGTTCTATATTCATCAGAGGTGTATAACACCTAGGTGTAAATGTAATTGACTTCGAGTGACTTAACAGTTGAGTCGACGATGAATTTCAGAAAAAGCTTACTAACGTAGCTTCAGCTATGTATGTTTATTTGCACAGTGATACCAGAAGTGAAAATCAATAGGTAATAATTGATGAACTAAGACCCAAGTCGAATCATTGGTGAATGGTACTGACGTGAAAAGCAGTTATAGGGAAAGTTTATATATGTCATTTTATTTCTAAATCATCGTTTACTGGAGTGGTTTCGACATAATGCTGTCACCCAGTGTACATATTCTTGCGGGCACATTAAAATCAGAACAAAAGAAGTCACCAAATGTCCTCATCTTGTAACCGAGAAAAGGGGTGGCTTCCCAGATCCTTATATATATATCACTCGGGTTTTATTTCCACATTCTTTATAAGCTTCAGGGACATTTTATCTAGATCTTTGTTTATTTTAACACATAGGTATCGGTACTAGAGGGCACCAAGTACATAAGCGCCACACAAATCTCATTTGATATGTGTGGGGGCTGTGATACTGCCCGGCTGCCCTAGACCTTTAGTCTAAACTTTATATTTTATTGCTCTTATGGCAGTGTCCTTGACGCTATTATTACCTCCATCAAACACGTTCCATGAAATTCAAATAGATTTCCTTACGTCTTGTGATATCCTTGTTTAATATTAATGTTTTCACAAAGCTTCTAAAAGTGACCGTTATTATTTGTAGAAGATAAATTCAAGATCGGGTTAAAAAATGGTCAGCCTCCTTACCACAACCCTGGTATTTAAAGTGTTAAACAGTAGTTATTACTCAGTTTTCCCTTAAACTTAATTTATGAATCCAGTTTACAATGTGAATATAATTGTTTGGGATTTTTCTAGCAATTATTATTCAGATATTTTCTATCGCCTTTGAATGTAAACATAATTCTTTGTAATATTTCGAGGTGCCGGGAAACTGACTAATTTAAATAGGAAAAAGGTTAGTAACTCATTATGAACATAATAACAGTATGGAGGTGCAATTTTGATTTCTCCTTTTGTTTTGGTATGAAAGTAATAGACTTTTGACAGTGATTGAGTTCACGTAGGATATCTTTAGGTTCCCTTTTTTGGCGAAGTTGGTAAAAACTTTCGTTTATAGCTTGTGCAAAAGGAACCTAACGATCGTCCATCGAACAGTTTTTTTAAAGGTTAGTCATAACCACCTTGACACAGATATCCCAAAATTATTTAAAAGCGTTACTCCTACTTTATCGCTTCAATAAGGAATTCAAATTCAATGGCGAACTTTTAAGGCAACTTGGTAGCGTCGTGATACAATCAACATTGGCTTATCTCCTAGTATACTGTTTTAGGGAGAGCCTAGAAGATACTGTTCGCTGACGAACGACTAGTAGATTTCACTTATTTAAGGAATACATGGATAATACAATTGTCATCTGTGACGAAAACAACGAAGTTAGAGACCTTCTATACTAATATTAACACTAAATGGTGTTAGACACTGTTAGCTTTAAAAAAAGTGCTGTAAGTAGGTAAGCAATTCATATTTGGTCGAATTTACTTTCGTTATTCTTAAAGGTATTGGGAATGACGGATTTGTTAACGCTGGTTTCGCCGCACTATGTGTGCAACATAGTTTTTGTATTTGGCTAATGGATGGTCTAATCAACGTGTTTTTATTAGTTGTGGCTCCAGAACTAATTTAATTTTAAACGAAAGGGTTGATTTTCACTCAATTCTTTACCAATAATGATTCGGTTTAACTGATTAAACATTTCAATGCAAAGATACTTTTAGGTAGTTAGCAACCAATAAGAATGTTAAGTAAATGAAACGAGTTCATATCGACCTAATTTAATAGACCACTGCTTTTTTCATATTCACAACACTAGGATAAACGAGCAAAGGATTTCTGAATATTATATTATAACTACATCAAGTAGAAATTTTGGTTTAGGCCTTTTAAGAAAACAGATAGATTAATTCATGACTAAAGTTAGTGTTTTGAATATGTAGTGTTTGTCTTTATTAGAAAGGAAGCTCTGAACATTGGTTTTCTCAGTAATAAAGCTGAAAAGCACTAGGTCAGTTTCGAAAATTGAGAGAATTCCAACAGGGCAAACGATTTTCGATCGATTTACAATTCTCAGGTTACTTTATTGCAATTTCATAAACTAAAATAAAAGCGCGAAAAGAATAAAAAGCAATAGTCAGTTATTCATATACTACTTCCAAGTAGATTAACTGTTGTATAGTGAAAGATATTCAACCTAAACATTTGTTATTGACTTTCTGGCGGCTTTCTATAACCCCAGACTACTTAAACACACGGAGTCTAGTAGTAGAGAAAACGTTCAAAATATAAGTAAAATCTTTGAGCCAAGTTTCATTTGTATACAGAAAACAGGCTTATTTGAAGTTTTTGATAACCGTTAATTTGCCATTTCCAGAGTTCAAACAACAAAGTAAGTAATCGTCCAATTAGAATTTAACGCTACCTGCCAATTTTCTGTCTTTGTGGCGTATACTGATTGGATTAAATGATAATAAACTGTGGCGTGTGCTGATTGGACGAAATGATCATAGGCTGTGGCGTATGCTGATTGGGCGAAATGTTCTTACTCTTTTTCTTTGCCACGTATCAATTAATACAGTTGGTTGACTTCACAAACTTAAGCAAAGCAAAAACGACATTAACAGAATAAGACGAATTTGTTGTGTTTTATTGTCCCCAGTTCACCTATATACAAGTTAAGGTGTTTGATTTTTTCTAACTAGTAATATAATGTTGAAATTGAATTATGAATCAATTCATGTGTGTGGTGTGAAAGAAGTTAGGATTTAAGTTTTAAAACATTGTTCGATAATCGGCCAAGGTAATTTTAGAATGCTAAGCTCATTTTACTGGATTACAAAACAGCGTTTCTTTGGAAGTTTAGAGAGAAAGTGGATATATGAGATCAACTTACTAAATATTAACATGGAAGTTAACCACTAACTTTTTTTTGAATACAAAAGTCAGGGTTCAAGCCTTCAAATCGCCATGGCTCCTGCAAATCACTAATAGATACGCCGTGCTACGCAGCCCTAGAGATTACATACTTCCCAACGTTTCGACTATCTTCCAAATATGTCTTCGAGTTCCCTTATTTTTGACTTATAGGTTAACTGAATTCGGGATCCTCGATTATAAAGGTGCTACGAACAGAGCGTTGTCAAGCCCCGAGTATTCGTGACATCTCTGAGGTGTTCAGATGGTTGAATGTTTATATTTTAAATAATGTTTGTTAATTATCTTGAAAGACTTTATGACGTGTCCACTGTCAGCATAATTAGGAAACAAAGGGCACTGAATTTACCCCCTTTTTACGGAATCGGTCTCCATAACTGGTATATAAGAACTTTCGTCTAAATTTGATCGAATAGTTACATAGTATCTGGACACCAAGTAGATGTACGACATTAAGGAGGAAGAATGTAATTAGATTTATACCAAATTTATACACCCAAAAAGATGTAAATCTTCTTTTGTAATTGTAACCTGATTTAAAAATGTTCTTTGCGTAACCTATTTTTTCCGTGACACTAATTATAATTTATCTGGTTTGTACTTAGTCAATTTCATCTTATATTTTAGATATTATACAGCTGTAACATTAATCTTTGATTTCTTAACGATTTTGTTCCTATCCACTTAATTTTTATTCTAGAATATTCATATATTCAGCGTTTAGATATTGAACTATATGAGCATCTCTTCTAACTATCCCATGCTCATCACTCTTTTCATTAATCTTGATTGATGAGAATTTGTCTGATATTATGATATAAAGTATGTACACCATATTTTTAATGATTACTACAATGATGTTTGGATTGAAAGCATTTGGAGGGTAAATAAGAAACAAATGATTTGATGTTATTGTGATAGATTTATTGTTCTTTGGACAAATAAATAGGTAAATATGCGACCCAGTTTTATGCGATTTTCTTAAAATACAAGTTTAAACTTTATAGTACTGATATAACAAATTTTCAAAATATTTCTTTCCTCCAATTGTTTTACGATGATACGCTAATACGATAATGAGACTAGTCGCGTTTTATCAGATCCAGGATTCACGAGCTGGAATAGAGAACTAGAGTACAGACTAGATAATACATTATTCAACAAAATTACAAGTGGTCACTCAGTGAGTCCCGAGGAGAAATTAGTAAGAGGAAAAGAAACCACATATTTTGTAGTCAGTATTCCGTAGCGATTTGTCCACGCTCAACGACCAATCATATTTTAGTTCCACTACCACATATCAAGTATTGATATATTTGAACGCTTTACTCATATATTAAGACATCAAATCGTATTCTCTTCATAAAAAATGCTTGCTCTTTATCAGGTAGAACAATTAAGAGACAAGTCAAGACAATTGCATGCTGTGAAGTGTTTGGTTTGACTGACTTACCCAGTTTACTCATGGTGACGTTCAGTTATATTTACTTGACTATGACCTTTCACCAAGGGAAAAGAAGACTTGATTAACTCCGAAAAATTTACTGGTTGAAATTATTTCCCAATTAAATGAATAATCTAACCATAAAGCTCAAAATTTACATAGAATTTCATTATATATGAACACTAAGACCGAATGCTTCTTTTCTCACCTTAGGTATACGTTTATTTTTATTTTGTATAAATTCCATAAAAGCATCGTATCCATGTGTCTCTTTCATTTTCCCATTCAAGCTTTCTACTTGTCCCTTATATGATTGGGTTTTAACATTTTCAAATTCACTTTTATTGTACATCGTGTTCGCACCATTATCTTTGATAACTTTCCATTGTTTCGGTGGAATATACCATGCACCATAATGTAATCTTTCAAAATTCTGGGATTATTAGTTAATAATCGAAAGGAAACAGGTAAAATACTCTTAGCGTTGGTTAAATATACGTAATGGGCTTATTAAATACATCCGTCATACTTACATGTTATTTACTAACAAGTACTTTTGATATTTCCTAGTCGTCACCCTCTTTCCATTTGTATTTAGTCGATACAACTTGTCCTATGGGATTGACCATTCTCACTCTTAGTAAATTAATCTATAGGTTACTTAGGTTTACTTATTTAATCCTTTGTAGGCTCGGTATATAGAACTTTCACTCTGTTTAAAATTTTTTGTTTTAATAAACTATATGGTTTATATGTTGATCGATCCGCGTTAATTCTACCGGACTATCATGGATTGTTCTTTCCAACCGCGAAGCCCTTCATCTGAATAGTATTATTTCATCATTCAACTTATATTTATAGTGCAGAAAACTTGGCAGCGTTCTAAAGGTTCCTGTTTATTTTTAGAATTTCATTTGTATTGATATTAAAGAAATGTAAGATGTAAATATCAGTTAGTTCCAATCTAATTATAAAGTTTTATTGCAGTTTCTATTACGAACAAAAATACTGAGATCAAGGTGTGTGAACCATTAGACACTGTTACTGGCACCAGTATAGATGCTGGATAATATTTAACACTAAGAAAAGCTGAGTTAGTAAGAATCATTGACACTAATCGCCAGAACTGGCTGATGGAATAAAAACTTCTTATTTTTCACTGTTAGATTTCATCTGACTGTATCATTCATGCCTTGAAAGTTCGTTCTCATGTTATATGGATCGTTAGTATAAATAAGTGATCAATTTGAAATTTTGTGATTTAAGACTATTCAACTCAACAAACAGCCACCAGTTGATTGAACTACTCTATTATGGTTATCTAAGACTGTAGTCTGTTTGGTTATCGTATTCATAATGAGCTGAAAGCGGTACTAGACAGATAGTATAACCATTATTTGAGACTCTTAAACTGTGTGAACTCACAATACTATAATGGTTTCACCGACTATTGAACTGACCCATGTCAACAAACGTAGGGATCTTGATTAAATTTTTTGAAATATTTATAATCTATGGTTGTAGATGATTCCATAAGCAACAGAACCCCATGACCTACATGTCTTGAATGGTCGTGTTATCGCTCACTAGTTTTTTCGAAATTTGAAATTCATAGAATTTCCAACTTCATTTAACTTGCAATATGGATTCTATATCATTCAGTGTAATCTAAGAATGCCCTTCTGTATTACCGACTCAGTTTAATTCATGGAATAAAGTACATAACACTAGGGTACAATCATCAATCAGTAAGAGTTCATCATCACTGTGTTGTGCCTGGTTGATAAAACTAATTTATCGGGTTTAGATTTATGAAATTGTCTTTGAACCCCACCTTTTTGTGCCAACAATCAACCGCTCAAGTTAAATTAAGTCGAACAAAATTTGACTCTCTCGTCTACTGGATCACTAAGTAGTTGATTTCACTAGATTAAATACAGAAAGCGTAGGTAAAAGCCGAGTAGATGGACTAGAACTAGTTTATACTGTTATTGTTCATGAAGATTAGTGGGGGATTGCTTGCATTGTGGACAGTTTCTAAATCTCAGTGGTCTAGAGGTTAAGAGCGCGCTACGAAAGGTCCTGCGATCAAATTGCGCGTGCGGGATCGTGGGCGCGCACTGCTGAGGAGTCCCATACTAGGACAAAACGACCGTTCAGTGCTTCCAGGTTTTCAATGGTGGTCTAACATGGATCGGCTCATGATCTCAATTAAAACTCAACAATATTTACAACCCTATTCTGTTAAATCCCAATATATTTGGGATTTAAAAACTTATATGACTTGATTTGTTTTAAAAACGATTTGGGTAAATTAAAATACAAAGATGTTTTCTGTAAGAGCCTTGGATCAGTGGTCTTATAAAAGAGAAAAAAACACTGAGGTTGGTGTCTTTTTAAATAGTTGTTAAATGGTTAGCAGTGATGAGTATCTTTATCTTAAAATCGTTATTTTATAATATCTTATTAAACGACTACAGATAATTACCTTTTCTTGCCTTTTAGCCGCATTTGACTTAGTTATACGCGGTAAACTCTCTGAATCAGTCAAAGAATGCTTATCACAGAGTAATTTGGGTGGTTCTTTAATAGAGTGTCTTAATTCATATGGTAAATTAATCAATTCAACAACATTAATTGGTGTTGATACTGGGGGTTGAGCTTCATGTGTTCCAGCAAATAAACTTGCTAGTGTTGTCGGTTCCGGATTGTCGATTGATGAACCATCCAAATTCTTAATAAATTCACAAAATGCTAATGTTTCTTCCTTGATTGATGGGTACTGTTAAGAAAAAAACGGAATTAATAATATCCTGTAAAAAGAACACTCTAAAATGAGACAATTTTTAAAATCTTTAGGTAAATTAATAGTGTGAACTGAGAGCCAAATACCAGGATGTTCTCATGAATTTGTATGATTTATTAACTGAATCACTTCTGTTAAGTCCATCACATTAAATCGTTTAAAGTTAAGGAATATCATCTACTGAAAAGTCTTTCAGTAGTTCAGATTGGTTAGTGTTTTAACAACCACGAGCCTTACGATTCCTATTTATGCTTCGTGAGATCTTTATTAACATATTATTATTGTTATTTGAACACATAAATATTGGTAAAAATGGGCACCAAATACATATGCGCCACACAAGTCACTTGATTTGTGTGTGGGCTGTGATACTGTCCGGGTGCCCAGACCGAAGCAGGTGGTTTTCTTAGAGGGCCATGCCCGGAGCGTTCAACCTAAAGGTCTGATCCACAAGGCGGTGGGGCGACGTAGAGAGATGCAGTCCCATGGCAGCCGGTGACCAACGATAGATTTATACGCCATTTGTTCCCTCAGGATCTTGGAGCCCATATGCACTATTGGTTTGGAATCACGGTTTTCCAATTCCTCTAGGCGGACTCTCCGTGTCCACTGGCCCGATTAAAATGCCGGACATTTGCTTTTCGTCCTCTCAATTCCGTAAACAACACCCACTACGAGAAGGTAGTGAATAGGACTCCCCTGACAGTGGCTGTATACACGTAGCTATGTGAGAGCGTTTCGAGAGGGAGAGCGGATTCTCCCCACCCTCGGCCGTACCAGAGCATTTAGAGGCAACTCATTTCGTATATTTTCATTTTTGAATAAGATGTTTCATATATATACTGTTGTGAAAAGTATACGTAAAATCAGTTTGGCTTGTTAGTGAAAATAATCATAGGCACTTTCTACAATCCTACATTGATCAGATACCAGTTTGAGAATATTGAGCAAATTAACTAAAGTTCATATAGATACACTAAGTTATCAGATATTTTTTCTCATATATCATACTAAGTTCTTTAATTTCTTTAATTTAATAATTAAATAAAGCAATACTGAACAAAATCTGTTAAAATTCATTATCCATAACAATAATGAAAATCTAATTTCGGTTAACCTTAGTAAGTATATGACCGATTCATCATCATTTTAGATACTCTCTATCTATAGTATACTGTGTTTCTTCGGATTTAGCATTACTGTTAATAATTTCACAACTTCAGATTTATTAACTGATACACAATTCGAAAATTACTTTAATCAAATGAGTTCCCATTTTTGTTTAGTCACTACCAATAGATAAAAGTGATTGGAAGTGAAAGTGATATAAATTACTGTTGTTAACTCAAACAGTTAAATGAGTCAGTTGAAGAAGGAAGATAAACAATGATTTTAGGTGTAAATTTATTTCACATTTAAACATTAGATTTGAAATAACATTTCAATTTACTCCGTCATATACAGATTTACTCTACAGTGATTATTAGTTAAGTTCAACCAGCTATGACTTAAAATACTGTCACGATAAATTAACACATAGTTTAATTAGTGAGAATATAACTACTTGTCATACTGAACTAATAACATTTTGGACTAATGTGTAGTTGCGCGCTTGATTTCTTCTTACCAGTTATCAGCTAATTTCACGGGTTCCAAATATAATCAACAAGTATCGTGATATGTCAACGTTCCAAATTTTTAAAATGTCAACGGAATGGAGTGAGATATCATCGTTCTTAAGCATGATAGAGGTTTACATATGGTTATCATAAAAATCGTGATTATAAAGAAGGAATATTATCCATTTTTAGTGATAAGACCTTGTTAATGACAAGGCTTTCGTTGAATGATATTAGGAAATTAAAAAGAATGGTTTCGTGAAGTGTTATAACTGAAAAGAAATTCAACTGTGTAAACCATTTGTATCTAAACTCACGGACTGAGATTTATAAACGCAACAATTGATATTAATACTAATTCTGAATTTATGAGACGGTTAATAAAATTTGGCTAAGCCCAACCGGAAACAGTGTTAAACCATTTTTTTTAAACGGTAGGTAGGTAGTTACAGACTACTTGGTTGAAGTTCATATAATAACCACGATCGATTGTTGAAGACTTTTGGTGACAGCTTAGAATCTATCACACTGGTGCAGATGTATTCACTGTTTATCTTCCTCAAGCTTTTCAGTTTTAACATTCATTGCTAAGTATTTTCTCATTATTGTTTTTGCACCATATACTTAGTGTTCAGTTTTTTTTTAGTATCATTGCTGTGACATTATTTTTATTGTTTTACTAATCATCTTTTTAAATTTATCTTATCAATCTAATGCGATATGGTAATATGTATCAGTGCATATTTCTGTTAGGTTCTATGTTTATTAAGGATGATTGACTTCCTAAAAGAAGTGCACTTAAACCTATTAACTTTTATGACATCATTAGAAATGCTTTTCGCTTATTTAAGCTTCGGTCGATAAAGTGAATTACTTGGTTTGTTGACTGTCTAATCATTGCTTCGTTAAAATATTATAATGACAAATTAACATGATAGTCTATGCTTGAAAAAGTTGAATGAATAAATTAAAACGGAAAACAACTAACTTCTATGAACATTTCTGGTTCAATGGAATCTTCATTTTCAACGTTTGATTGAATTGAGCTAACTGAAGATTGTAACTTACTATCACTTCTGGAATTTTTTTTGTAAAAAAAGGACATAAAAGGGAAATGTTAATCGATAAATCTATCCATGAACATTTTATCGGTTTTGATCATATTGATTTATCTGGATTATTTTCAAAAATTATCTACACAATCAAATGATTAACTTTAAAGATAGAACCGATAGTGGAAGCTTGCACATTAAAGATGCTTTAAAAAGTCAACAGTTTATAGTGTAAATTTCGGTGCAAAATTGACATGTGTAACATCTCTTCTAATTTATTTCTTTTTAATAAGTCAGTTATTATTAGCGTCTTCCGAATTTTTAGAATGAATATTTGTCGACTGTTATTTTTTCCACGTTATTCATTTCTTCTTCTTTGTCTGTCAAGTAGATAATTATCTCTTATCTCACTGATACGTAAGTTGTTTTTACCTCACTATTTTTTAATTGAGATCATAAACCGATTGGTGTCGAACCAACATTGAAAACCTGTAAGCACTGGAAGGCTGTTTTTTCCCATTGTGGAACTCCCCAACGGTGCGCATCCATGATCCTGCCCACGGGATTCGAATCCACGGTCTTCGGTCTCACGCGTGAACGCCTAACCTCTAGACTATTAAACCGGCATCCAACGGTGTTAATGTCTAACCTCAAACAATCCGCGAAATTGCGCGACCATCTTCCATTGTATTGAGGTATATACCTGTCTCTACCCGACATGGATTAGCTCCACTGGTTACGGCTTCACATTAGAACTCCGAGAATTCCCTTAAGAAGTTAATCACTAGTGAGCACCTGATAATTATCATTATGGGTTTGCGGAGATTAAAATTGAAATTATTACACAATCGTCTTGTGATATTTGGATTCTTTGAACAATTTTTATGATGTACTCTTATTATATTTAAAAAAATATATATATATTTTAATACCTATATTTCACATCAGAATAAATACAACTGTACAGTTTCAGTAAACGATATTTGTCGAAGAGAAAATTTCATTGACTGAATTTATTTCATTTATTCATTAATGGGACAATGGGTCTCATTCATTACAAGAAAGATTTTAGTTATCTTATGAACTAGAGAAAAAATGTGAATAATGTAATGCTTCATTTAATATCCATGACATGAAAGTATGTTATCTTTGTTTAGCCTCAAGAATGGTTAGGATCCATTAAGATTTGAAAGAAAAAAATAAAATGCATCCTGTTTGCGCAAGTATTTTTTGTCATGCGTTGATAATTTATGACTTAGAAGCTGCACTATTTCTTCAAATATAATTGCTTCGAATAAGGGCTTCTCTCGGAAGACTCGTAGAATTTGGTTATGTGGAAAGTAAAACACTTTCTTCCAATAGCACTTAACAGTTAGTGCTGTTTATTCCAATGAATTCTGACCCAATGGTCTAGAGGTGTCATATTTACTGTAGTACCTGTATTTAGTCTCCGTGTCACGACTGCCCTCTACTAAGTGTAGTGAACAAAACACGAGTGAGGACAGTCGGAAATAATTGACACAAAGCATCTCAATAAAAACTGACAACCATATTGTAAATTGTTCATTTGCAAAATATCAATCCATCATCTCAAACTTGACTGTTCCTGTTGCAAAAATCAATCCATTGTCTCAGATTTCATTGTTCATGCGTTTTCATACCAATTACGTCCCGTTCCCGTCCTCTTCTCATCGATTTTCTACTGAAATACATTCTGTACCTGACCACCGTTATATACTACTTGTATGGATATAAGTAACCCACACCACACTAAGGAGTCTCAAACCAGGATGAAATAGCTATCCAGTGCTCTATAGTTTTCAATGATTCTGAGACTAAAGTTATTCAGTTACAAAAATCATCATATTTAACTAATCTTCACAAGCCAATCAATTCATTTTAATTATAAATTACCGTGAATTTAACTTACAATAAACCACCATTTGATTGTTTAGATAACTTTATTCCTGTTTTATTATGAACATTTTCATGAATATTCTGATGTTTTGCTATTTTAACCAAATCTATCAATTTTTCTTTATGTGGCCGATCTAACAAATCAATTACTGTCTTCGAAACCTTGATCATGAGTATAAAACGAATATTCATAACAGATTGATGAGAAAAAAATGTTGAATCAAAGGTAAAATAAGTTTGATCCGTTCAAAATTTTTAAGTTGTAGCTTAGGAATATGACATCGAATCATTTAAGTCATACATTTGAAAACCTTTCTCATTTAATAAAACTTGATTGATTTTATTGTTTTAATTAGTTCTACTTAAAAGGTCAGTAGGATATAAATTCTAGTTCATAAGTCAATTATTGATTATTGAGTTGAACTCATTAATTGTAGTAGTCTAACATCGATCAATTTATGATCTCAATTAAAACTCAAGAACCTCCACAATTTTATACTAATAATTGTAGTTTACTTTGAAATTAAAGCGAGACTTAGAGAAGATAGGTCAATAGTATTCATAAACAAAAAAGGTTAAATAATTCTAAGGAATTGAACTGCTGAGGATGAGAATAATCAAAAAAATTTAACTTATTCAGTTAAGAATATAGTGATGTGATCCTCCTAGAGAAATAACAAAAGGCATTCGGATTGCGGTTAAAAAATCAGTTTACTATGTAGCATTTGTCTTCAATAAATATCCTATTGTAGTGATTTAGCTAGTAAGAAGCACAAGTGAATAACGAAAACAGTTAATAATCGTGGAGAACTGCTATGAAAATATAACCAGACTATCACAATTCATCAGTTTATGTCACATCTATGAGTACAATAAGACATATGATTAATTTCTTTAACCTGTATTATTTTCCTGTTGTTTATGGTGAAATTTTTAATTATTTGTGTCGTACCATTTGTTCAGACTCGTTAAGGAAACCGGAATTAGGAACCCGACCGTTAGCGAAACAATCTCAGAGAAAGATGGACATATTATTCATTCTCAATCCAGGAGATTGGATCGATGGGCAGAACACTTTAGGGATCAGTTCAACTGGCCTTCAGCCACACTTCGGTTTCCCACGATCTCTAGTCAACCTGAATGGCAAGTTAATTAGTCCTCCGTCCCTTTACGAAGTTGAAAAAGCCATAGGAAATCTGAAGCGAGGGAGAGCAGCGGCCCGCAGGTTTCTTTTTAAGGATGGTGGTCCAGTATTAGCAATGAGATTAACCGAGGTCTTAGGTAGGATTTGGGAACTGGACGTAATCCCATCTGACTGGTCTCAATCACTGATTGTGCCAGTCTATAAGAAAGGACAAAAGTCCTCTTGTGACAATCACAGAGGAATCAGTTTGACTAATATAGTGTCTAAAATATTAGCCTCAATAATACTTCGACGCCTAACTAAAGCTCGTGAAGAGCAGACTAGAGAAACAAATCTAATCTTCTGAATTCTTCATGTCCCTTTTTTCCTCTTTCCAAATTTCTTTCACTGGATTATACTCTTTAAATAACATCTCCAAACCCTAATCTTCCATACTACCATTTTAGATTCCCATCTAATTACTAGTTTTACAGTGCTTAATCTTAATTGGTGATCAAATTTTATAGACTGATCTATTATTAGTTATTTCAGCTTTAAAATAGATCAACCGACTTAAGGATAATGTCTACGGTTGTTATTCTAGTTGGTACATGTTCAATTAGCCAAAATATCATTACTTTTCAAGATTGTAGAAAAATTTTATAATGAGCAGCAACAATGAATTCTCTAATATAGCCTATAATCAGCTAAAAATGTTTATAACAGTCAACAATTTGTTTTCTTTCTTTACCTCCATTAGTACTTGAAATGTTTCCACTTTAATTGAAAGGGGATTGGATTATTATGCAACAGAAACAAATCTATTAGTAAAGTATCATAGGCAACTAAGAATGATAGATCAGTTACCTTTGATTGATCCATCAACAGAATAAATTATCTTGTCGAATTATTTAGATCATTTAGTAGCATATGCCAAATTTGAAGTAGAGGAAAATATTATTAAAATTACTTCATGATATTGAAGTTACTTTCAAATAATCAGCAGATAGTCGGTAAAAATCGAAAGTAATTCACAATGGAAGTAGTAAAACTTATTAAATATTAGTTGTCTTAAGAATGATTGTGGTTCGTTTCAAGGTTTGTAATTAGTTTTCTGATTTTAGTATTGTAAAAGTATGGCTTTATAACTTTATTAATCTTACTCTGTATTAATTAATTTCACAGGTTTCTTTGTGAATCTTAGTCAAAACCATAAATAGTTTTATCAAATATTCATCATCATCTACAAAATCTCTATTAATAAATTTGCTGAGTTATGGAGAAAAGATTATCAAAAAATCATCGTTGTCACCACAACGACATGAAAAACATTATGCATAAATAAAGTAATTTATTCTAGAATTTCTACTTCATTAGGTCACTTGTTATACAATGGACTACGAGTATTATTCACTTTTGAACATCACACGAAATGCTTGAAAGTAGTCTTCTCTATTCTGATTGACTGGCTCTTATACTGTAATTTCACTGAAGATCCTACTATATCGTCTAATAACATAAAATATTGATACTTAATTAAACTAGTTCTTATCAGTTAATTGTTTTTATCAGAAAGAGTTTTCTGGATATTATAGTAATTTCAATAGTTGAGATCATGAATTAGTAAACTTTGATGTGTAAGAGTTAATAATAATCACTTAACCAAATGTCTTATCCGTAATGTGATTTTTCGATATGCTAACAAATTTTATCTCCCTAAATATTTGTGTCAAACGTAGATATTAAATCAATTCATGAGTTTTCCTTGTTTGTTTCAATTAGATAACTAGAATATGGGTAAATATATATGACAATCTAGTTCACAGTAATCATTCAACACACACCAAAATTTGAATAATTATATTATTGTTTCACCGGTTTATCGAAGGGGACTAACATACTTAACTACTAATTAGTCCTAATTTAATTATCTAATGTCGCTGTGGTATTTGTACTAACTGATGATTCCTTTGTACTTCATTGCACTCTGATTACGAATTTCAAATCTAATACATTCAGTTGTGCTCATCTAGTTCTACATATCTTAAATTCTTAGTTAGCACATTAATCCGACTACCTCAAATTATCATAGTTAAGATTATATACTTATATAAATGAACATATGATGTTAATTTATTGACATTATTATGCAAACTTACAGAAAGAGGTAAGTACTGAAGCAAGTAAGGAAATAATAGTAAAGGATGCCTCAATAACTTGCTTTCTAATTCATCTAGCTTTGTAGGTAGATTTTTATTATGATTATTGTGCTGTTTGATATATTGGTTCCGGGAACACTTGAGATTTTTTTCTTTGTTGATTATGATTGGTCCTACTGACTGAATAGACTTTTAAGGGAAATATAAACATGATTAACGTGGGATGTTATGGTTATTTAAATCAACAACATTCTATTCAGTAATTAACCAAAGGAAAACTTTTAGAATTTCTTATTGTTTTCATATATGGCTTTTAGGAGTAAGTGTAGTGGCTTGGCTTCGAGATAAAACCTTATGTTTCGTTTATCAATCACCTTGATAACCGCTATCGTGTAAAGTCCAGCGGTTGAAGAGTTCATATTGCAACAAGATGCGGCGACTACAGTTCATCATTGAACAGCACAGATAATGAAGTTATAGGCACATTGAGTAAATTGGAGCAAAGAGGCGAATATGTTTGAGTGGGCGAATACAGAGGCAGATTTATAGTCAAATCGGATCATGGCGCGGCGAGGTAAGGCGAAGCGAAAGCAATTAATAAAATTCAAGCGCATATATATAGGGAGGTGAATGATTCATCAATAGATATTTGAGCGATTAACATTTGAGGTAGAATGAGGAATATGTGCATAGGCTGTCGCATATGATCAAACATACACATTTATACAGACATGATAGTGATCACAATAACACAAAGAATTGGAGGAATAGTTACTGTTCGAATAACATTGTATATTAAGTAAGTTAATGAAAGGGCTCTACAAAATTAATTGTAAGAGAGTTACTATATAAGTATAAGATTGTGTCATATTTCTAAAACTGGTATCAACTGCTTATTTGAAAGAAATTTTGTCTGTTGAAGAGAACTCAGACGATCATGAAGTCCTATGAATAAAAGAAAATCATTATATAGTACAACTATTTTAGTTATTAGAATCCAGCTCATTGGTTCATAATTGGATAAAGTGATTGTCTTTCTAGTTTGAAGACTGATTTTGATTTAGTAGGAAGAGGTCTTCACACATGTACTTATCAGATGTTCTACAACGTACAAGTTAACTTTCATCCTATTGTTAAGAGAACCAGGGATTATATTTTTTTTCTATATCTATTGAGTTACTAACTTCCTTATCAATAACGTTATGTGAATAAGTTATACAACTATGATCAAATATAATGATGAACATGGGGTAGATAATGAACTGGAATTGTATTTGAAGTTTAGAACTTTTGAGTGAAAATATTTTGGTGTCAGACAACAAGTTGTCACCGGCAAAGCTTTCTGTTTACATAAAACAGGGTTAGTATTGAGGGTGAGTTGTTTAATTGTCTTAAAGCTTTTACTTGCAAATTGGAAGTCTTATATTTATAAATGGAATTTTTTTCTTGTCAATACACACTTTTAGAACGCGTTGTACGTGAATATCTCATGGTGATTCAATTAACTTAAGTTTTGACTATTATAAATAGAATCACTCGGCAAATTGTAATATATACATTATGTGAGCAGAGAAACAAAAAAGCTATGACTAACAACGGAAGTTGTTTTTTAGGACGTTATTTTACTTAATTCAAAGCTTGTAAATCACTGACATTTATTTTTGTCCCTAGTTTGTTCTACAAACCATCAGCTTTGATTTGATATGTGATTCACTTCCATACCCCTATTCGTTCCAAAGTTATTGTTATTAAAATGTAAGCTTTGGCATTCTACCTTAATGCCTAGTTTTGGACATGATTGTATTTTCTAATTGTTCTGCATTAAAGTCATGTTAGTCATCTATTTATTCATTTATTTTTTTGCACTAATCTGAATCGGAATTGGGAATAAATCGAGTAGCTTTCCAGTTGACTCTCTTCTTTCTCTCACGCGCTTGTCAACCAATCAGGTGATAGAATAGTTTTTGTCTCTGTACCCCAAGCAGTTAGTCTCACTTCGAACTCAGCTTATCGCGTCAAGGTCTTGTCCTAGATTGCGACAAGTTATCTTCTGTATATTAGTGGGTAGACAGATCAAAGATATAATAATGTATCACGATAATTTCTTTGTACATTATTGACCAACAAATTCAACTTGCGAAGTACAACACCTTCAACTGAGCTCAGTGCTTTTTCTGTGAGGTGTGTGTAAATCTCATCTTGACTACTAGAGTACGGACTGGACAGTCCTAGGAATCACCAATAAGTATACAAAATTCTGCTACTTCAAATCATCACACTAATATTAATAACTAACGTTTTGTTTTGTTCTTAATTGTAACTGAAATTTGTTGTTCCAGTTATGATGATAATATTAATTTTAATAATAATGATAATAATCATAGGTTTATTATTTGTGGTATACAATTACATATGCTAATAACTACATATTTCAGTGATGTTTAGGTGATCTCAAATTTCTTATATTAACCTATCAAAAACTGTAAAAATAATCAGTAGAAAGCATATGGAATTTAATTAGTATTGTGAGTGTTTAGTGATGTGAACATGTATGCAACTGAGCTGTACTATTCTAAGTAAAAAAAACACTTGATGAGAATCATTGTGTTAAGTAAACTAAGATTGGTGAGTACTAGAAGGGTGTACACAAAGCCTAGATTATTACTTTCGTATTTTCAGAATCCAGTTAATCGTGTGTTCTTATTGGTTCAAGAGGATAGTAACGGCTTAACTTGAGTTTCATGTTGAAATATAAATAGACAGAAAATCTGAACGACAGTTCTGATTATGCATAATACTCGGATCTGACTGCAATGTTTGCTACTAAGACATTTCAAATTAATGGATCCGTCTAGTGAACATAACATCCATAAAGTTATTTCGTGCTTCAACCCAAATGTTACTATAGGAATTGGAGTTTGAGTGTGTGACTATTGTGTGTGATTCTAGTGCTAACTCACCTTCTCATATAACCGAATTCTATTTCATCAGATAAGTAACAGATTATCGTTTATCCGGTCTCATATACATCATGGGTCATTCCTTTATAGTAAAGAAAATTCTGTCGTATGAGATATGCTTTGTGGACAACACCAGTATCGTTTGATTATTGTTGATTTTGAAACTGCCTTAAAGAACGTTAGAATTAATGTGAACTAGTTAAAATACAATAAAACCTTTTTTGCGATGTTTTTATTGAAATCCGGTCTTAATATAAAACAACACGATAGTTTGTTCCATATTACTTGTATGTTTGTAAACTGGAACTTCATATTGATTATTCCTGATTTTTCCGTATGTCTGCGAATTTAATCTGTTCTGCAGCTTCTGTTTCGTGACCTAGCACAGAAAGAACATCATCCTGCTTGTGTACAGTATATTACTGATACACGGAACTATGTTGTTTTTATCTGTTCGTATCAAATTTCTGTTGACTGGTAATCATATATGGTTCGCGAGGGAATTCTCGGAGTTCTAGTGAGAAGCTGTGACTAGTGGAGCTAGTCCGTGTCGGGTAGAGACAGGTATCTACCTCAATACAATGGAAGTTGGTCGCGCAATTTCGTGGATTGGTTGATGTTAGACACTAACACCATTGGATGCCGGCTCAGTGGTCTAGTTGGTTAAGCGCCTGGCGCGAGACCGATAGGTCCTGGGTTCGAGTCTCGCGGGGAGCGGGATCGTGGATGTGCACTGCTGAGGAGTCCCATACTAGGACGGAACGGCCGTCCAGTGCTTCTAGGTTTCCAACGGTGGTCTAACATCAATTGATCCATGATCTCAATCAAAAACTTAACAATCTCCACAACCCCTATACTGATAGTTCGTGTTTGTGTCAGAAGGCGGTAGAATGCATATCAACAAGGTGATATGGACTATGCGGAGAATGATGTTAAGCCGCCTCAATGGGCTTCAATGAAGACAGTATTCTGGGAACAGTTACTACCCTCTTACGAAACCTAGCTTTTTGTAATCACAGTTTTGCAACCAGGCCCGTTTAAATTCAAGCTTGTGAGTTGTCCGTCGTGACTGCCTTCGCATTATTTTCAGAATTGTCACATGTTATTGTTGAATTTTTAGTCAAAATTTCTTATTGCCTCTACTACTTTTACTTCCACACTTACCCAATACGGACGTGACTTGGAACTAAAATACACACAATCTCCCTCATACGTTAATTAAGGTGTTTAGATATATAAGTAAGAGTTAAAAAGAGCACTGAGGGAAGTTTGTATACGGCTAGTTTCAAGGTCAGGTCAGTCGAAACATAACTTGACGTAAAAGAAATATGGAACAATTCATTTTAACTTGACTAATTACATCTTACGAAAAGCTGTGGATAGAGTGTAAAATATACCAGTGTCATCAGCATTTGTGGATATAAGCCATTGATTATACTCACCAAATGGAAATGAAAGGTAAGATGGACAGCGTATATTATGCTTGGGTGTTTACCTTGGCTTCGGATACATATAATCTTCAACATTTTCATTTGTTGCAACTTATAGTACGGGAACATAGTATTGAACTGCACTTATGTTGTTTTACTTGACACTTAGTCTTGGCGGCAGCCATTTTGGTTTGTTCCTGCTTTGATTGCTTGACCTGTGTTGACTGGAATTGTGCATTTTGGTTGTGAAGTGAAGCACTCTTCCAGAATAGAATAGCCTTTATTTGTTGTGATTGGTAATTTTCTTGCATCCTTTATCAACTTTCTTATTTATTGTAATTTAGATTTGATCAATTGAACAATTATTGGTTGGATAGCTGAGTGGTTATATTTGTTTAGGTAATAATGTACACTTAAATTTATGATAAATTATAGAACCGCTATCTTACCCAATTACTTTGTTTTGGTTTCAATCGGGCGAGGGCGCGTATCTAACTCATCCAGACAGCTGTCCAGCAGTCCAAACGTAGTTTGGATCTTACACATAGTATTTCTTTACTCACTCCAAAAGGATGAGGACACTCTGGAGCGTATTCAACGGCAAGCCACGAAATCAATACGTAAACTCAAATTCAAGCCTAATGAAGAGCGCGTACAATCACTTAACCTTTACTCATTAGAGTACAGGCGTCTTAGAGGTAACCTTCTAATAGCTTGCAGCATCTTTTACACTTCTGGACATCCATTTAAACACCTACTTAAGTTTAGCTCCAACACAAACCTAAGGGGTATTACCCAGAAACTGGAGACAACAAAGCAGAACGGATTTTAGATACAACTTCTGCTTTCTAAGAGTAGCCGAATGCTGGAATTCGCTGCCGGCTGAGCCAGTGCAGGTGACACCCCAGTAGTCCTTCAAGGGGGAATTTGACCTATTCTTAAGGACTAAGGATGGTATCTTACTATGATTTTTTTATTTTATCGGTAATATACCTAGGTTAATGCCTAAAGGTATTGCTGATCCAATGCCCGTTGAGAAAAAGTTCCCTCTTTTCCGTCCACAACCATTTGAACCATTCGATATATGTATTTCTAAACCTCTGTATTCTGTTTCACCCGTAATTTCCAATAACTTATTTGAAAGCGGTTTTTTCTTTCAGCTCTGATAATTGTTGATTTTATTTTCGTCTTTTAGGTTCTGTTGCATTCAGTTTGTTGTTTTGATTTGTTTTCTCATACTCTATCACTGGACATGAGCACCTTCAAACTTCGTTGTGTTCACTAATTTTTCTGTAACTTAATTGGAAATTTTTGACCCTACTTGATTTGTCTCTACTGCTTTGTATGACCGTTTATCTGTCTTCGTTGTAATCGTTAAATTTCAAAAAGGAGGTTGAAATTGCGAAGATTGTTACTCCATTACTCTAATAGGACTTGTATACATATTACTTCATTTGTGGAACTTGGAATGCATTTCGTGAATTCTGAGTATTTCATGTTTAAATTTGCATCAGGGGCATTTCGTTATGTAACATCTTAAATACCAGAATCACTAAACGTAGTCTGTAAGCAGTTGAGCGATTTGACGAGACGATTCAGAGACGGAAGATTGTGAGTGAATAAGTTATTTAGATAATAAGAGGGTGTTATTGCGTACAATGCACACTGTTCTAATAAAAACCTAGTAATATTGGACGAACTCAAGAATACTGTGGCGGTGAATAAATCTTCACAATCAATAGCTCTGTAAGTCTTCGACATTTGATGCTAACCGCATTCGTTTTGGTGGACCCAGCTAGATGAAAGCACCCGGTCACGCAACTGCACCATATCACAAGTCGGTTCGCGTGCTTAACATTCCTTTTTGAATACTAGCCAGCTTCGAACAAACATTCCTTCGACTTACTGATAGCCTTCCAAATATATCTTAGAACTTCTTGATTCCTGACTTTTTATTTGACTGAGTTGGCATACTTCTATTATAAAGGTGTTACTGGTTAAAGCATGGTCAAAATCCGAATACTTGTGACAGTTATAATACCTATTCGTACTTCTTTAGAATGCTCTTTTCATGATGACGAAGTCATCCCACTTACGCTAGTGGTGTTGAAGTATGTGAATATATGAATAATGCTAAAATTTAAGTGGTGTTATAAACGAACGTGGATGTCTCTATTGAAGAAGTGAATAGACGGCCATCTGAAATGAGTACTAAAGAATCTAGAGCAGTGGAAGTTAGTTATCATAGTGTCTACCTGACTCACTGAATGATAAATGGAACAATGCCATCAAAATTCATCATTGATGATGGACCAAAAGTCTCGGCTGATTGCAAATAAAAAATTCTACAAAATTGTTTAAGCTCTCATGGTCCCTTTAAGAAATCCTCAGAAGCACAGTTTGATTTTTTGAGATGAAATCCAGATCATGCGAGCAATGCGAGATTTGAGTGTTCAGTCCGTGAACGAATATATGTATACAGCCGAAAGCGGTCAATTGAGCTCCTTCACTGGTAAATAACTTCCAGGATTGGTAGCTGTAAAGGCATGACATCAATATTAACGTCGGTGATTTTAATGCCCTTTGCAATCTGGAGGCGTTTGGTCATTCTTCATGACCATGTCTTAGCATAGCCGATGTTATACTCTTCCCAATATATTTATAGTCAGCTTAAAATACTCAAGTTCATCTGTATCACCCAACGTTCAATTATACTGTGTCTTTCACCGAATAGTATCTTCGGAGTATCATTGTCGAGCTATCTGCTATTCATGTCCTTCGACAACGTCGTAAAAAGAGTGCATACACTCCTTCTCATTATCCATCTTAACGTTTGTAGATGACTCTATGAAAGCACCCAGCACGATGAAGGGTAAAAGTGATTATAAACACGACTAGATGTCAAGTATTCGGATGATTTTGCGATTTGTATGTTATAATCAAGAGTCACTCATTCACCTAGAAGCCAACGAAAAAGATCACAGTTATCAGATACAATGCATAGTAGCTCATAGACATAGGTAGATAAGTTTGAAAGTATTGGAGTGGTTTCTAGAGGGTTGTGGACAACAAAATATTTGAAAGGTGCGGATGAATTATTGGGATAACTGACATTGTCAACAGCTATTTAAGTGCATTAGAATAAAAAAATCCAATAATGAACATGTATTGTCAATAATCATTGCTACTGAGTGTCTTTCGAATTGCGTAGAAATGCGTTTCTTACGTCTTTTAATAAAAAAATTCAAGAAAAAATTCGGTGAGACTATAATTTATAGAGAACCTTTGGGCGACACATAAGTGACCTTGAGAGTAATCACCTGCTATTTGACATATTGAAGGTTCTAAACAAGTGTAATTTACAGTTGATGGTTAGGGTTGGGAACTAGATTGACAATGACATCAGATAAAATGCCAAAAGGCTATCTAGCCAGATGCGCGAGTGAATGTCGTGCTAAAATACAAAACCTGTTGTATCTGATTGGTTAATCTATAAATTATGGTCTCGCCACCGTAATACACACACAGACATTTTAATCTAGTATTTAGCTGTAAAAACGTACCGAATCTATGCATTTTGATCCTTGAGGATAAACTGATAAGAATTTCCACTTCAATGCATTGCTTTTGGTTCTTTTTGTATTTCCCATAACTTGTGGACGGCCTTCAGCGTTGTCATGGCACTTTGAAAGTCTTAAAGAAATTCTTTTATGAACACTTGTCATTGTGATAGTAAGTAAATAGTGTTTAGATAAGTAATCAAGAGCTTAACGTTTCGCATTATAGTTGCGAATGTTTGGAACCATGTGGCTGTTCATCAAGTCTTGAGCTACCGCGGGATGGTTGATCGTAAGTTTTGCTGTATTCGTTGAGTCTCTTCAGTCAGATGTCCTGACTACATGAATTACTTATGTCGAGTACATAGTCTCCAGGGAGAAACTAATAGCCATAAAAAAGAGGTACGTGCGAAATTGCTTTGATTCTATATTCTCACTAAGCCCTTAATCTCCCGATTTCTGGGAAAATTTTACCTGTTTTGGGGATGTTGCTATAAATAATTTAGGGGAAATGGTAGTAAAACCTCCAAAACGCCTTCAAAATAAGGAGACTGGACATCTAACTCATGAATTCTTGCGAACTCAACATTTGTTGAAATCTTGGGGTTTCCCCAAAATTACATTAGTCTTCCCCAAAGTTTTAGGGAATTTCCCCAGATCTGGTGAAAATTTGGGGTTCTTCTTCCTTTTTCTTAAAGTTTTCTGTAGCGTTTTACCTAAGACGGATAAAAGTTTCCCCGAAATAAGGAGAATGGGTGCCTAAACTTTCCTGCATAGACTTGGATTTCGTGCTTGTTTTCCTGAAGTTAGAATCCAAGTATATAAAGTTTTGCAAAAGTCGTCATATCTCAGTGTATGAAGTCTTTTGTTAAATTCAGCGTGTGAAACCATATTTTTCTGGTAAATATACTCATTGAAGTTAAGTCCTTTAAATGATGCTTACGGACTATCAGCATGTTAATCGTACCTATTCAAGATTTTACCTGGTGTTACCGTTTTTAAGGCTGCAGCGTCTCAAAAAATTGAAATGGTGCCGAAATAGCTCCAAAATGGAGCTCTCTCGGCATGAGCTGTTTGTGTCAATTCACGTTCTTCTCCCACTTACATTGCAGTTGTGATGTTGGTTCATTTATATTTAGTCGTCAGTTAGTAACAATATCTTACACGTCGGGTTCGGCAAAATGTCCTGAAGTGTGGACCACATTCGCAACCTACTTGTGGGGTGTGGCCCCTAAGTAAACCACCTCCGGCTTGGGCGCTCGGGTAGTATCCCAGCCCTCACACAAACCGGATGTTTTGTGTGGTGCGTGTATGTTTGGTGTCTCCTTGTACCAATAGTTATGCATTATTTATGCATTTAAACAAATAGGACAAAAAGATTACGTAACAGTTAATGTTTTTATGGCATTTGTGTTTTGTAGGACTTATTAATACGTTTTCTTTTCGTTAAATGCAGAAAATAGATCCTAACTCAATCTCAGGTGAAATGGCAGAATTGTCTGATTATACTATAGAGGCACTTGAGTCGTTTAAACGGAAATTAACTACATACATAGAAGCTGTGGATAAAAGCTGTAAGTTGAGATGTAGCATACTAAATGCCTTTACAGTGGCCAGTGCAGCTGAAGAATCTCTAAATTTTGACTTCCACGAGAAGTTACCGTCGGGCACTTACTGAAAGTTATTGTAGACAAGACATCTATATGTTTATGTATTAGCCTTATTCTCTGTGGACTGTGTTTCACAAGACAGTATTGTACATCGTTTGTATTACTAAAGACGTAGATTAAATTCTAAATTAAAAATAAAAGTTTTCCAGTTTAAACGTCTTTTCAGTAACATTATAGCCTGTGTTTTTCTTAATCCTGTATTAAGTAAAAATCTAATATTTCACAATCTTGGTATGCTTATTTGTATTTTGCGAAATTGTGGTTTTCTAAACACGAGAGCCGTCTTGATATGTTGGGTGTGCTTGCTTTTCGTAATAATCCAACTGAGCCACACCGTATCTCGAGGTCTTGGGATGTTAAATGGGTCAGCTTGGGTCATTCAGTCAGTCATAATGAAAATAAAGCCTAGTCCAAATATATGTCGGTCCAAGTTTCTATGCATTGTCACCACAGCGAGATGAAGTCAGTGAAATGACTAGTGGGGTGGCAAGATTAAAGACAGTTACTGTGGTTTTATCAGTAGTTGGACTGTGATGAAAGTAAGTAACATTCTTGTGAGGAGCATTTATAGGAAACTGATTGGCCTTATTTTAGATATTTAGAGCATTGGTCGAATGATGACTAAACTGCCGTCGAATGTATGCTTTGTTTTCAGTAGTTCACCGTCTCACTGAGTTGAAAATATGTTCAACCCGAGGCGAAAGCTTGGAATGAACTTTTTGCTGTTGCTTACGCATCGCTTTTTGTAAAACAAGAGTGATCGTTCAGTTGAATCTAGAACTTTTTATTAGTATCCCTAGGCAGGGTGACCTGATCATAGAATTAAATCATTTTATTCTATTACTGGCGGCCAATTTCTTTGCTACTCAACTTTTTAGTAATTTATCATGAGACTTATCTTAGATGATTTGTGTCATATATCAAGATTTAATCTTACACTTTTGAATCTGACTTATTTTAGATTAGTAATTCATTTCCCACTTTACTGTTCCTGGATCTAGTTATGAACAAATGTGTATTGTTCAACACCTACAACACATTTCAACAGAGCTATATCTTGGTACCCTTACTGATGTTCACTTATGGATCAGATTTTTATGTATGTAATTATAGTTATAATCCTAATATCTGATTCATATAGATGCATCATAATTGGGATGCAGAAAGTCTAGTGCAGTCCATTAATGGGGTTATAAAAGTTTTGGTATCTTTAATGGTAAAAATGTCCAAAGAGAGTTCAGATTTGATGGTTTTAAAAAACTTGGGCATTGGGTAAATGGCATTCACCATTACTAGAAATTCGTATATTTCCCACTAAGCAAAAAATAAATTTCGTTTTTTAATCCTTTAGAAATAAAATTCTTTAGTAATAATGAGTATACAAAATCCTCTCTACCTCTTACACGTGCTTGTTTGACTACCAATAGAGTCCCAGTCATAATTGCTTGGACATGTCTCGTATATAATAGCTTCCTTATAAATTACAATCTTAACAAAAAGGCTAGGATGTTGTGCCCCTCAATTCCTGCCTGTTCTAATATGAACACTCCTGCACTATCGCAACATTTATGACGATGTATGTCTTCTAATCACGGAACTATTCAAGTATAATATTTGTCCTCTTTAAAATGGACTTCAAAAGAGGTTAACAAAAATGTTTTTTTAAAATTTATTTGTTAAGGTGACAAAACGTGTCATTATACGCATTTTTGAGGTTTACCTCCAGGGAACACAAATACCAGCAGAGGTTAGTCATAATTTACCCCTGAATATCAATAATGAGGAAAAGTAGACTATTATAGATGATATAATATCATCTCGTTGCGCAAATGTGGTATGGAAACTTGGGCTAACACATATCTGTACCGGGATGTATGTTCATGATGACTGACGAATGATGCACATCATACCTGTTGAACAAGTTAGTACCTATCTGGTCTCAATGTAATGTTTTAGTATTTGAGGCTATAGGTGCTGGTTCAATTTCGGTATGAACATTTATACTAGGATGCAAGTACATAAACTTGACAAGTCCTAGATAAAGCGAAACGCGCATTGCGAATCTCAATGCTAGTCATAATCCAAAAAGACATTTGTATTGAGATGGAGAAAAGATATGGGAGGTGAATTAGGGGGTTGATCACAGTGAATAATTGACATTTATGTTCACAAAACTGAAAACTATGTGGAAACGAATTAATTGGCTGTTGGTGTGGATGTTTATTTCCAGTTAAATCAAAAATAGTTATAGCGTTTCTGCTACTGATAAAATATTTAGGTGTTTTGCAATTAGTTTGCAGGTATGAACTTTGAACTGTAGGCTTGAAGATGATAAATATTTTGAGTTCATGAAGTAGCTATTAAGTAAGGCGAAGCTGTTCCATGTCTCATGGTAGATATAGAAGTGTCTTTGAGATAATTAGCTACAAGCGTAAAATAGACTCAAGAGTTTGATAATATTGTTGGATTCATATGAAAGCAAATACTTAGGCCAGATACGTTATGGTAACATATGTTCTATAGTATTATTTACTAATATATATTTCTAGTTGTATTTATCACGGAAAATCAGGTGTTTTAGCCATTAAGTCACTATTATCTCTACAGTTGGATGCTGTTTTTGTTTCGTTATTTTCAAGGAAAATTAACATTTTATCTACTGACCACGGTAATATTCCGTAGTACTAACATAATCAGATCTGTATCATCTAAGCCTGGGTAAGATTTTGTTAATTATTTCAGATAATGAAGAAAGTAGACAGTACTTAATATCAGGTGCCCGAAGTTGCATAGGGTTCATCCCTAGAATAGAGCATTTGTATATCTTAACATTTAAATCCTTATCAATCAGCCATAAACTCAGTTTTGAAGTTTGCTTCATAGTTGTTAGTACTCAACTAAAAATAACAATGATCATTGTGTACCATACTGGCCTACTACGGTCTGTAATTTTTTCCCAACATTACTGATTGGGTTTTTCGATCGCTTCAAAATATCAAGGACAGTGTTGGTTATGAAAATTAGCTTTTGGTTGGGATTGTTGAGAATATTACCACTGTAATTTGAAATGGTAAAACCAAATTTTAGTATCAGTGTATGTATCTAGCAACTAGATATGATCGATAAGACTCCGTTTTACTCAACTGATGCTTTTTCATAACTTACAACTCACTAGGGATGAGTGCATAAGTTTAATCTCTAACCAGCCTATTGATATTTATCGTATCACTTCCAACCCTTAAAGGGTCTCAACAAATGCTTCCCACATATTTCATTTTATACGTTTTCTCGTAGTCGGTTGAGATTTATGATTTTTCTTTTTAGATTTCTGCATTTGTACCAGTAATAAATATTATAGTCACAGATGAAAGCAGAAGATGGTGAGTCGCTTTTATAAGTATCACTAAAATCTTGGTATTGATT